ATTCAACTGTTTGACGTTTAAAAGCCGTGTAAGAAAATTCGGATTAAGATCGGATACGTTGACATCCGGACGAACGGCAAAATATTGCAGTTTAAACGTGACGATTAAACAGATGGTAACCTTTGCTAATTTTATTTCTCTGTTCAATGTTTAGCATCAACCAAGAAAGGATAGTCTGAGTGGTAGCATGAATCACAAGCGCGAGTTTTGGGACAGACAGATTCCAATACCATTAAACGATAAAGAGTAAATATTGCACATGTATTACTAGCAAAACTATGCACTTAATTAACGTGAAATTGATTTATTTATTTTTTATGTTATGACAGCTGCACCTGCACCCATAAAGAGATACTGGCGATGCTGTTGATGTTTGTGTTCGTCATTTTGTTAGGTGCCTGCCTCATTGCAATCTCCTTTCTGACAGGGCACGATCTACCACCGTTTTGGGGAAAATAAGTTGCTTCTTCACGCGGCCAAGTATTATCATAATACGGCTGTTTAATTTTTTAAAGGCATCTAGTGTTGTGACAAGTATACATTACAATTGTATATACGTTCGTTGAGTTATAGTAAAATAATATTTTGAATTCTTCAAATGGTCATCGTCGTCGTCGTCGTCGTCGTTGTCGTTGTAGTCGTCGTTGCCTATTCAATTTATTATTGTTCATGATATACAGCATGTTTGTCTTAAATATTTCTTGTACCTATCGAGTCTTAATCAATTCATTTTCTTTAATGTTATTCGGCAAATCGATAGTTTTTTAATTCAAACTCTCTCGTCACTCACGCGTTATTTTAAACTCTAAAAAACTGACCCTTTTGCACTTGACTAGTTGAATGATTCGTTGAAAGAATGAACTGTAGTTTGATGAAAAACTCACCGATTTGGGATGCTTGACAAATTTTTAATGCATGCTAAATTCTTCAATTCAACAGACCCATTTTCAAATTATACCAATTAATTTGATTTATCGTGATTGAATTGGAATATTTTAAAAATAATTAATTGTATGTATTTATTATTTACTACCGTTGCAATCAAATTTGTAATTTAGTTTGCGACGAGGAAAAAAGTATTATTGTCAATTCACAACATTAAGATGAACTTTATAAAAATTTAGTTGCAAAATAAAATTATAAAATAAATACTCTCGAGTTGATCCAATTATTTTTCACGTTCTAATTTCTTAAGGATCCCAGATTTGCAGATATTCTTTTGCTGAACGAAAAAATGTGGACGTTAAGCATTAGACGAGTGAAAAGCTAAACCGCACATATGTGCAGCGCATAAAATCGGATGAATTTGCGCGGTGAGCATTTGCCTTGGCCTGCGAGTGCGCGCGGCCGACAGCAGAATCTCAGGGTCGATCGGCTTTGCGTCGTACGTGCCATACAGATCCTCGAGCAAATAGATCGGTATCGGCCGGCTGCGAGCAGCAGCAGCAGCAGCAGCAATAGCATCTCCTTAGAAAGAGCTCGATTTGCCGCGCTGTATTTTTACAAGGTTAATTGCTCGCGGTGAGCTTCGCCAGAGAAAAGTCCATTTCTGTTCGCCTGTTTGTTATGACAAAACGAGGATTTTCCATCTCGTTTATTGCGGGAAATTGTGTTTACCATGTATAGATATACAGCACACCGAATCTCTGATTTTCTCAATACATATGTTCCATTTTCCCATGTATTACGGCTATATCTATACACAGTAAACACAATTTTTCATTAAGCTTGCTGTATTTATCAAAGGCTACTATTGAACGATTCATATATTAGCTTGGCTTCAGGACTTTCTCTCGATTTTGTAAGATATCACTGCTCTCTTCATAATAATTGGTCTAATCTTTTATAAAATTATCATAAATTATGAGACAGCCCAGTTAAGTAAAATCTAAATCACGTGAGACTCGAAAGTTTTTCCATTACTTGGAGCATTATGGTATATGATGAGAATTAACATTTCCAAGAGATTTTCCAAGATTTCTTTCGATTATAATTTTCAAAAAGCCATTGAGATGTCTTCTGTAAATTTTAAATTATTGTTTTTCTTTGCAAAAATGTTCTAAAAAAATCAAAAAAAGAAGGAAGCTTAGACTAAATTCAGTATCTCATATTGAGGGAATTTTTGTAAAATATACCTTCTTTTTTTATTTTTGCAGTAACCAAATTTGTTATTGTTTGTTATTGAGTCAGCTTTTTTAGGATAATTTGTTTTTGATGTACTCTTTTTCTGTAAAGTTGTACTTTTCTCAAACGTGTATATTGAAGTATAATTTAGGCGATCCACAATATAGATAGGCAGATCAGTCGGTTTATAAAAAGTCAGCGAGCTTAGAAATGGCGAGCTTTCACAGATACTGCGACATATTGTATCTGAACTCATTCTTTGAACACTCGCTGAATGATACGCTCTCTCATCTGACTATTGTCCTTTGCAGGCGCTTATGGAGTTGACGAAAGAATGAAGTATGTTCGGGAAACGGATTCTAATTGCGATCCGAAAATACCCATATACCTATACCGAGCGCCAAGATTTAAATCCCCCTCCCGCGCGGATGACCGAATGCGCGCGAAAGAAGCGGAGGAGAAGCCGCCGCAGCAGGTAGCCGCGATCCATTGGGCCAAACAAGCTATACTCTATACTAGCCGCTCTCGCAAATGTTCCTCGCATGACTCATCGGAGGCGCATAGCAGTCCATAATGCATTAACGGGGAAACGTGTTTACAATATACAGATGTACCAATTACACGCGTTTTCGATAGTTTTGCGCTATTTTCCCATTTATTGGGGATTCATCTATGTATACTTTAAGCGTTATTCTCTAATAGTAGCTTGTATCGTGTACACTCTTAGTCTCTTGCTCTGCTCCTCCACCCATCGGAACTCGTCTTACGCGCACGCGATTCGCGCGCGGTTACGACGACGCATGACTCATCGCGGACTTCTTCGAATCTCCGCGCGATCTCGTTCCTCGGGTATATGAATTTTTTTTGCGAATAACCGTTGAGCCCGTTTGCCGTCGCTTTCGCTGCGTTTCCCCTCGCTTCGCTTACTTGGCTGCACATTACTTCGACTACCTGTTTATATCTCGAATGGTGCCTGCAGTGGGATCTATTCCGCCAGTTTGGTTACAAAAATGAGAATTTCCAACATTCCTGTGATACGTTTACTCGAATATTCGCAAGTATTTGCCGAAACGCATCAACGAGAATTTTTGGAAATTTTACAATTTCAGACTCTTCGATGATTATGCGCTGCTATACCACCAATCGCACCTGGTGTCATTCTAGCTGCACGAACAATACAAAGTTAACCGCAGTAAGGCGAAGAGCGACTCGGTTATCTCGACAGCTTCGCTCATACTCGACTCAAAGTTCGATTTACGATTTGATTGTCGTTCAATAACAATGGCAATTACAGTCCTCGAGCTGACACAGTGCCTATGATCGATATAAAATATATACACGTAACGCTCATCGGATGCAGATATTATACATGTGTCGACGAGTTTCAATAGCTCATATAGTAATACATATCACTCTTGGGCTCGATCGTATGCTTTTATCGAGCGATACGATCGTCGCGTGCTGAACCGCGACGCTTGTTTTTCGAATAAAGATCTCTCGCGTGCAGCCATGTGACTTCATCGTCTTTCCTATAAATGAGCAATCGCATCGATGACGACTATGGAGACGCGAAAATTTTTTACAATCGCTCGCACGCCGGTATCTCGTTGAATAACTCGGAGAACTTGACGTAAATATACAATTTACTAATCTAGTATTCCATGATTTTGGGTAAAATCAACTTGGAGTATTTTTCTATTTTCAGTTAAACTATGACCGGAGTAAATTCTGTATCGGCTTTTCGATCCCCACCCGTACAAATCTTTGGAAATCCAGTTTGGATTCCGCCCAATATACATAAATCACACCTGCCGAGCGAATTTCAAAAACAAGAAAAAAACTGAGATCGCTGGCGAGAGAGATAGCTGGTTTCCCACTTCGAAAGAGGCGACAGTTCCACGAGATGCTCCGTGCTCGATTCAAAATATTGGCCAAGTGGTGTGTGCGCGCGCAGCCGTCTATTTTTTTCGCGAGCACGTGCTTGTGTGTATTATATACATGTGCATCGCGGCTCGAGTCTGCTGACATCATCGCTGCTGCTGTCGTCGTCGTCGTCGTCGTGCGCTCTTTCTCGAAGTTACGATGCAGTCGGCAGTGCGGCTATGCGTATAATATTATGGCCGTTAGCAGGAGGCGCGCATACATGCAACGGAACAGTGCATACTGCATGCGTCGTCGGTGTAGTATACGTCACAAGACCTAACCTCACCTCACTCCGAAAATTGCCGAGTGGTATTCGCAATATAGGAGGGCGACTGACGCTCGCGTGCTGCATGTCTCTCTCTCTCTCTTTTACTCACACATACACACAAGCGAACGTGTGCGAGTGGGAATATTCGCGCGCGCCACCACTCGCTAGCTCGGCTCTCTCGCCAACGCGCACGCACACACACTTGCAAATGGACTATATGCTTTGGACGTCGTCGACGACGGAGGAGAGTTGCAGACAAGCGCACACACAGAAACATGCTCGCGCGAGAGCGAGCGAAAAGTTGCTCCTCGGGAGGTATTCCCCCGCGCTGGCGCGTGACTCATCGACAGTTTCGACGCGCTTCTCGTCGCCAGACAACCTTTGCAACGTAAACGCCGCAAATATATATATACCTATATACACGTTTCTTACATCGAGATCCGTCAGCGTATACATACACACCTACAGAGACTATATAATACTTGCAGGCTATACGGCCAACGCGTGCTCATATACATATATAGACTGCCCCTCTCGCGTCCCTTCCACCCGCGCTCGCGTCTACTGCTCTCCCTCCCGAGGAAGTTTCTTAGCTCGCGGCGCTCTTTCTCTCTCTCTCTCTCTCACTCTCTCGATTACGGCAGTTTTGACGATACAATTCGCCTTGTTTTACTTTGAATTTTTCGCCACTATTTAGCCGAAAAGGAACGTTTGTTGCTGCTCTCTTTCATTCAGCGTCGTTTCGTCATCGTTTGATTGAATAATCTGCAGTCTAGCAGAAGCTGCACAATAGTCGTCGCGCGGCGGCTCTCGCGAACCACAATTATTACTATGCACGAGTTGTGTGCATTCAATAGTGCGCCTATATAATATATCAGCAGTTACACATATAAACTCTCTGCGCTCGGCGCGAAATTGTCAAAACAAAAAGTGCGTGAGTGTGCGGTAGACGACAGTGCGTGTGCGGCGTTATAAAAGTTTTGAGTTTCGGAGCGCGACGAGCTGCGCTCCGTCGTGCATACATTTGAAAGGGTAAACAGGTGGCGGCCAAAATAAAGCTCACATTGGCAAGAAAACGCCGGGGCTACGGCCTCGACGTAGTCGAAAATCAGCCGGAGGATCGAAACGGCGACATGAAACTCGAGGTGCTCGGCGGCACTGGCCTCCTCGGCCAACTGCAACGTCAACAGCAGCAGCAGCAGCAACAACAACAGCAGCAACAGCAACGGCCACAGTCTAATCAGCAGCAGCCCTTCGGAGTGATCACGTCGGTGGGCAGCATCGGTAACGGAAAATCGGGCCTACTCTCGTCCGTCGTCTCGAATTACGATGAGAACCCCGGCAGCAATCAGAGCTCGTCGGACGAGAGCAGCAGCATCGCCTCGGCGAGCAACTCCAACGGATCGTCGTTCGAGTCGGCCGGCTCCTCGTCCCTGCTGTCGGCCAAGCTGGGTGGAAAGGCCAACCGGAGCTTTCTCGCCATCAACAATCTCGTGCCGTCGTACTCGGCCGCCTGCACGACCGTGAGTACAAGTCGCTCACAGAGCATTTATAAATTGTATTATATAGCAGCTGCAATAATGCACTCGTTTTCGCGCGCGCGCTATCGAGCTATTTACGTACTCGGTGCATAATAATATAAAATACACAGCTCGCGTGGTATACGTGCACGCGCGAGCAAGCACGTCGTCGTCGTCGGCGGCGATATACGCGTTGATGATTCCAAGTGCCTCGAGTGTGTGTGTGTGCGTATGTATGCGAGCCAAGCATCCGATGGCTGTAGTGGCCAGTCGCAGTGCTCCGCGTCGCGAGCGGTGAGCCCCGCTGCTGCTGTGCCTACTGCAGCATCCGGCTGGCCTTGTGCTGCCTGTGTGCAGCTCGCTTATATATACGCACACATGCATTTGTATTACACACAGAGTCGTGTATACGTATAGAGAGAGAGATATGTGCATATAAACACACTGTCGACTCTCGAGCTGGATATATAATATTACAACTTTCATTCAACTCCTCGTATAAGTGCAAGAGAACGCATAATAAGATAATCGTTATACGAGCGCAATTTTATCATTGTTTCGCGTTTTGAAGCGCGCTCTTTTTTTTCCTCCTTCTTCCTAGTTCGAGCCCTCGCTTTTTTCGCGTAGAAAGCAGTGAAAATATATATTGCCATTAAAGCAACTCTATATGCGCATACGCGTAATAATGTCGTAGGATGCAGGCGAGAAGAGAAAGGGTTTCGCCACAAGTAATGGCATGTGCGCGCGAGTTTCTTTGCATCGCATATACATATAGGCGCATATGTATGATTCGAGCGGGGCATGCTCGCAATCCTGTATACAGGTGCCGCATATAAGGTCGTACTGTGTGTGCGTGTGTCTGTGTTATGCTGCCACTGACGTCACACGAATCTCGACGGGGAACCCGTATATACACTCATGTTTGGATTACATATACACACGCACGTGCGCCAATATTCGCGCTGCGTTGCCACTAATAGGCATACTTGTAATGCTCACATGCGAGTACGAAAGTGCCCTGTGTGTCTCTGTATGGGAAACCGAGCCAGATTCTCGTGCGATCGCATTCGCGCGTATATATGGTACCTGTAATATAGTCGCGCGGCCAGATCTGTTGTAATCCCAGATTTCCGAAAAAAAAAAGAAAAGAAAAGAAGATATAAATAACTCGAACGCTTATAGAGCGGAGTGCGATCGAATTTGCATCGGTTCGAAGTATGTGTATACATGAGGGTCGTGCTGGCACGTATACCTAGCCGTGCATACATGTTTACACAATGAACGTGTGCCTATACGTACGTGTCACTGGACTCTATCTCAACTTATACATAAAACCAATCGTTCGATTTGTAATACATTCTTGTACGTACGTTAAGTATATATGTTACTTTTTGCTCTTCGCGACGATTCGATCGGCTAAGATTCATCGGTTTTCCGTTTTTTAAGCATTCCCTTTTTTCGTACATTAATAACGCGTGCGTGGTTAATTGACGTCTTAAGAGCTTAATTGTATATTATTTGCATTTTAAAACGTGCGATAAGTACGACGGCTTTTTTAAATTTCGACCGCCGATAAGAACTAAAAATAATGATCGACTGTGGCTACACTAGCATTGTAAGGCAAATAATGTAATGACAATTCAGCCTAATTGAAAATCATCGATATCCATGCTTGTACAGGCACGAGCTTTTAAATGCTTGATACATTTCAGATCGATCGATCGAGTTAACTTGACAATAATAGCTAATTATCACTTTTCTTTACTTTTCCCAATAGACACGTGCCAAACTGCAGCCATTAGAAATTTTACATTAGATCAGTTCGCATATACGTTTGTTGTCAATAAAGTAATTTTTTTCGATCGCCTTATCGCAACCAAATCTTCAAATAAGATTAGCGATGATTTTGTCTTATCATCGGAATTTCCATGACTCATCGTGTGTATAATGCACATTCCAAATGTTATTTTTTTTACTTTATTTGCTCCCTTTTTTCTGCAAAAGTTCGAAAACAATCGCTGTATACGTTTGAACTTGCCATGCATATCAAAGCCTGATTTGAATTTAATCTGTATCACGTGTTCAAAGGCACAGTAACTACCAACAGTTCATTTCGAAATTTGGAATTTTTCATACATTTGAATTCAACTCCTTCCTGCAGCGTAATTACCCTACTTCACGCGAGTGTCACAAATACTTTTCAAGTTCGTGTGTAAACACTACTCACAAGATCGTTAGGCAACCGTTTATACCTTCGTGTGTGCGAAATAATCTACATCATATAAAGGCTTCAAAAAGTCTTGAGTCATCGAGAAATCCAAAGTTTTGGTAAATTTTTGAATTGTTGTCCTCATAGAGAGATATAAATCACATCTCTTATTTAAAGTGGAAAACGCGTCAAGAATTATAAATGATGCTCCTAAGAAAATGCAGACTTTCAGATATTTGGAACTACAATCAATTATCCAATATCTTTTGATCCGCGATTTAGAAATTTTGATATCTTCTTAATTTATTTGATTACTGTCCTCTCAATTAATGCATTATAAAAAAATTTTGATTCATTATAATTAATCCTATAGACAGGAAATCTAAAAAGTTTTACTAAAAGACCAAAGTAAAAATAAAAAAGTTCTAACTCAATTTCTAAAATATCTACGAGTAGATAGCTTTTAATCAAAAACATTTAAAAATATCAGAAAAAACTTCTTAATTCTACAGTACTTTGATATATTGTGATAGCATTAACTTACTATTAAATTATCTATAAATTTTTATAACTTCATGGTTATATCTTGAAATTTCATCGATGATTATGGCCCTTATTGTGTATCTGGCAAAAATATCAATTCAAATCTGGTAGCAATTGATGCTTTTTCAGCCATTTTTAATTCAAGTATATGTACATTATATACGGCCAAACTTTCACCTTTTTCCTCGTTTGTTCTCGTCCATTTTTTACGGTCAATAAAATTGTACTAACAAAAATTGCATAACGTATACGAGCATTATAATGTAATTTAAGCCAAAAGACACACACAGGAGTCTTACAAAGCACCCGCATTTCCGCGATACAGCTCTGTAGCATTACAAATAATTCGAACGAGAAAAGTTGTAATGTATTCTTCTACTGTGTATAATAAGGCAGTTCTAATATAAAGCCACCGAGAGTCGGCAATAATACTAATAAGCGAGTTATAACTTTCACGAGTCGAGCCTTTTCAAGGGGACACACTGTATAACGAGTGCGCGACGCGAGGAACACGTGTATGCCCCGAGAAAGACTCGAAACGCATGAACAATTGCGAAGGGTTTAGCGAGAGTCTGATATTTTTCTCACCGTCTAATCAAACGCAAACGTATATATCGTAAAACGATGTCCGCCTAAGCGAGTTTTCTCCTCTTCCTAATGGTGTGCACCAACGTGGTAGCAAAAAAAAACATTAGGTTTTACAATCAAAAGTAGAGAATGTGTTTATCGAACTATACAATATAATTAGAGATGATAAATGCGCTCAATGAATACGCATAGATTATACGCACATGCGCATGCTCACTTTAGTATTATAGTTTATATACACTCGAATAGGAAATAATGCGATGCTTTTGTGCATAAATTGCGTTGCTGAATCAACTAATGATGGTATGTATTTATGCTTAATTGAACTGAAGCTTTTGTAACAGAAAGTAACAATCTACCGCGTGCGATCCTATTTTCGAACTTCGTATACGGTTTTAGAACTAACAAACGACCGTATATTAGTTCTCTTACGATCGACGATGTTTATATACTTTATCTAAATAATGTTTTTTTCTTTTGATTTTGTTACATATTAGACCATCTTATATAATGTCTTCTGTTGTACTTTTATTGTTCTTTTTAATTGATTGAATCTTCAAAGCTTTTTGAACTCTTAAGCCTTTAAAAAATATCGTCTTCGAAAATATCTTAAAATTTTCATATTGTGGGATGGAATTAATTTTGCAAGTACTTTAAATTTCGTCAAATCTTCGTTTCAAATAACAAATTTGAAGTCAAATGAAACATCATAAGAACTCCCGGCATCGGCGCACGCAACTGTATTGGCCAAATAAAATTTGTAAACATTGCGGCTTTTCTTACCTGCCTTGGGCGCACTACTACTTCGTCGTCACGCGGAGAACGGACTTTTATCGTCTCTCAGTTATCCAGACGAATGATAGTTAATATTTTTAATCGACCAATTAAAATTCCTCGCACGTGGAAAATCTCTTTACAAAGATGGACCCATATCAAAATGATGGTAACTTGCCGCTGTATTATAGTTGGCGATCAACTCCAACTCTGGATTTCATAGACGTAAGTAACCATCAAAGTATCAACAAAATATTGTGCACGCAATGATCGTTGAATAGGTGTCAGTTTGTGAAACGACCGTAAATTAGTTCTCTTACGATTGATCATGTTTATATACTTTATCTAAATAATATTTTTTTCTTTTGATTTTGTTACATATTAGCCCATTTTATACAATGTCTACTGTTGTACTTTTCTACTTTTTTTTAATTGATTCATTCTTCAAAGCTTTTTGAAAAATGAAAGTTCTGCTGTTTCTCGATTAATTAAGCTTTTGAAAAATATCATCTTTGAAAATATCTTCAAATTTCCATATTGAGGGGTGGACTTAATTTGCAAGTACTTTAAATTTTGTAATAGAATATTTAGTTGTATTGAGTTTAAGAATAACGTAAAAAAATAAATCTAATAACAAATTTGAAGTCAAATGAAACATCATAAAAACTCCCGACATCATATAAATTCGGAATTTACTTGACTTAATTTCCCAAAAGAGCTTGTCTTAAATATTATCTTCTTATGTGTGGCATAGATATATATTAGTATAACACGAGGGTTATAAACACGTGCAGTATTTTTTCTACACTATAATGCACAAATATATGTGTATGTATACATAAAAGCTGCATAAAAGATCGAGGGGTGCCCTCACATTTGCCCCACATAA